CCTCAGAGTGTGGGCTCAAGTGCCTATGGCCTTTATCAACCGCCTCATCCATTCCATGTATCGACGTTGCATGGCAGTCATCAATGCACATGGCGGACACACGAGATACTGACTTGTGATGCCATTTTCTCAGAGACTAGAGTTGTGTTTCACTTTAAGAACATTTGACACTTTAATTTCAACCTTGATGATCAGTTTTACCAAGTTTTACTTTTTAATATGTCTCAAAGTATGTTTGCAGTGTTTGGACAAATAAGTTTTCTCATATATCTATCCATGGTGACGTTTATTTTGCGCTTCAGTATATAATGGACGGTCATTGTATAGGTTCCACTGTATATGTAAGTATATCAGTGTGAGGTAAACAATATATGATGGACGCCCATTATATGGCTTGTTTGTTTGAGTATACCAGTGTTGTAAGCTAGACATCAATTATGGCCGGTCATTGTGTAGGTTCCACTGTATATGTGAGTATATCAGTGTATATACATGGTGGACGGGCTTTTTTAGGTTCCACTATATTGTGGACGCCCGTAAGATGCATGTTTACACGTGTTTACGCATGCATGAAGACCCTATTTTAACAAGCACGCTGTATGTTTTATCAACTGTGGCAACTAAAAGTAACGTTTACTTACTTAGGGACGCTGTTACTGCAGTGACCCCCCCTTCCCTCGTCCAATGCCCACCCCCGTTAATTATGTTTTTGTTCAGATTTCCGCGAGTTATTGAGTGTTCGATGCTCAATCTTTAACATTTGAAACTTCCTAATCCAACACCTTGGTACATCGATCATTAATATATATGTGGCAATAATAATCTTGTTGGAATAGAAACACAGATTTGCAATCGTGTCCCATTTAATTCATCTGACGACAAGGGAATGGCTATTTTTTTCAATTTGATTCAATTATTCCTGAATAAAATCTACCTATTGAATGACTACGAATGTGTGAGTCTTTCTTGAAGATTGACTTTTTGAAGAGTGGTTACCTTTATACTTGTAAATATAAGCTACGAATAATGTTGTTAGGAATTGAGATCAGCAAAATTCCGAGGGCCACCAGACAGCTGGACTGTCATACACACTTTGAGATCATAACATCTAGATTTCTTTGGTCTGAAATTTTAAGATTCTTTGGGTTAGCTTTTGGTTCGGTACACACCTCAAGAAAGACACGCACATTGAGAATGTCTCTTCACGCGATATGCATCGTGAGTCATGTGTAGTGTAAACCCGTGAAGACCGGGGTAGAATAGGTCTTCAGCAACCCATGCTTGCCGTAAAAGGCGACTATGCTTGTCGTAAGAGGCGACTAACAGGATCGAGTAGTCAGGCTCACTGACTTGGTTGATGCATGTCATCGTACCCCAATTGCGTGGATCGATGCTCATGATGTCAATCACTGGATTGTCTGGTCCAGACTCGATTATTTACAGACTGCCGTCATATATCTGAAATATAACTGAGTACGGCGTTAATTAACCAAAAAAAAAAGAAAAAAAAAAGAAGAAAGTAATTTAATCTCTTCCTTTATTTTCATATTTTGGGGAAATGTTAGAGTTACTTGACATTTGGTTAAGAACTGGAAAATAAATGATAAACGCCTGACGTGGGGTTTTGACGACGACGCCGGCGGGGACAAGAAACAAACAACGCTTGCGTGGTGGCCTTAGATGCTTGGGCCATAATTTGCTGCCATATCATGGCTACAGCTCGATTCTCTTGCTTCCAAGGACATTGTTCCATTGTGCTACAGTTGTACCTTTGTATGCGTATTCAAGATGTGTTTGGATTATACAGTTCGGTCGTGATACAGTGGTGATATACTCCAGTAAATACAGCATGAATAGCTATATATGTCCACCAAATAAAATACTAGGCTGGTTCGGCTCATTCAATTGGAGACATATAGAACTCTCCTGGGAGATCTCTCAGATCAAGCTGCCAGTCCCTACTCTCTGTGCCTAGTGTTAGAACGGCGACTTTTTGAGGTCGGAGTTTCGCCAAAGTTGCCCCTGAGCTATGGAATAGGCTGTCATTGGATATTAGGAACATTGACAGTCCTACTCTGTTCCGATCAAGACTCAAAACCTATCTTTTCACCAAATCTTTCTTAGAGTATTGAGGCTTTGTGTTTTCCTAGCTGTGTAATGTCTCTTTTTTTTTGTGTAGACTCAAATGAAACGCTTTTGAGCAGTTCTTCGAACTGGATACCAGCGCTTTATAAATCTGTAGTTATTATTATTATTAACTCAGAGGTCGACATTACCAGACATTCTGACACAGGACTCCAGGCAGACGTGTTTATACGAAGTTTAACATCCAAAGCCCAAATACAATATCATGCAGAAAATCAAACATACAAGTTTCCAGCACAGTGCTTGACATGACCAGCCGATTGATAGAACTGGACCCATTTTACCACCCGTCCAGGTGAAGTAAGGGTCGAAGTGGTGTGTTGGGCAAAAGGAACACCAGTGCCCTCAACCACCAGAATCCCGTTCTCCACCAACACAGGGGCGAAACCCACGGCAAATGAGTTGCCCAACTCGGTCGCTCTTGCGACCAGCAATGGGGTGCTGAGGACACAATCTGTTTTACCCCGGGTCCCCCACGGGGGTTTAAAATAGTAAACTATTACTCAAGAAAAACTTTTGTACAAATTAGACACTGTTTATGCATTGATTTGTCGATTGATCCGTCAGTGAACCGGGACAATAACAGTGAATCCTTACAAGTCAATCAATAACCTTTAACTCAACACAATGTGACTGTTTCAAGAAACCATGTGGAACTCATTGAGAGTCCTACCCGGTTGCATTGTTAAGGAGAATGAATAATATAGTATACGTTGGTAACATAAATCAGTATTTAGCGACCACATTGCACGAGAGAAAGATGAACGCTGTGTTGTGTCTAGTCATTGTCTTCATCCCAGTCGTGTATGCAGGAAACGTATCGAGGCATCGTTTTGACAGACAAGTTGCACTTGAAAGTCTAATGGCAATGGAAAAGCCCTCCAGTAGACAGACGTCTCTTGATGAAAGGACCTGTGCTGATCTCTGTGTCCAGGACGGACTCTGTGCTGCTGTCACCTACCACGGCGGCCAATGCGCCATGTACAGATCTACTCTCACGTCCTCTGGGACATCTTTCCCTGGAGCTAAGCACTTCATCAAGGCAGGAGGTGAGATCCTACGAAGTTTGATTTGTAAATTAAACATAACTACACACTGACCTTTTAATTGTCCGTCTTGAAGGATGCATTCGTTGATGTTGATCCAACCATGCTTGTGTGAATTTATCTGTTGTCTCGAGGCTGTGAAAATGAAGACAAGAGCATAAACTTGTTTGATAATAGTGTGGAAACACTGTGACAGAAGTCAACTCTAAAATAGTCTGGAGATCTGTCAAGTATTGTTAATTCTAGGAAGCAGAGTGTGGTAATCTCTTAATGCTTGGTTCACAATATGTTTCTAGTATCAATAAGATATGTACCTGTGTATATGCAGAATACTGATTTTCTAATTTAAATATAAGGAAACGTAGAATAACTTTGATGCATTTCAGATGGTTCAGCGCGATTAGAATAAAGATTGAAGTTGGCAGGAACACATGTATGCCTAGAGATTTAAGATTATGTATCCGTTCATGAAACTATGTGAATATCAGTGTTTATTATGCCTCAAATTATGCCTGTGAATAATTGACATGTTGTCAGGTATTCTTCAATGATAACCCTTTGTGGAGGCGCAGGGCCCACTTGCACAAAGCAATCTTTGCACCGAGACTCACGTAAGCTTATATTAAGGTATGGGAGTTACGATCATCTTAGCGCTAAGATTGCTTTGCGCAATTGGGCCCAAATCTTTCGAGGCGATCGCGTTTGTTGCCGTGATAATGTTTCTTTACTCTGAATTGACAATGTGAAGATAACAAATATTTGAGCATTTACATGATTATTGAAACCAAGAATATGCCTGCCCATTTGACATAAGATGACTACATGAACACGTAAACACCATGTAACGAGTATCTGTTGTGATTCGGATGTTGCCAATGGTTGGTCTTTACAGGTGATTACATTGTGTCAGCGGGCCAGGCTAAGTGATTTGGATGATTGTATGTCATGGTGTCCAGAAAGTGTGGATCCTTCCTCATCTTGTCAGACACTGATTTGCCTGGTCCAGATGTCATAAATGGACGGCTCCAAAGTAACATCTGTATATTTCGGATTGTGAAGTTAACAGCAATCACGCTCTCTCTCAATTGCACAAATCTGTGCTGGCTCGAGGCAAACAGAAAGAGTAGACATAAGTTGTTGTTTTTCTGGAAACAGGGTATGGATGGCCAAATCGTCTAAAGTGATGAAATTCGCTTTGCACCATAAGCGCTTATTACTTATGATCATGGTTCGGACCGCCTCCGTGGTCTAGTGTCCGTCCGGAGAGCGGAAGGTCCTGGGTTCGATCGCCAGCCGCGTCATACCAAAAGACATTAAAAAATGGTACTTGTTGTTACCCTGTCTGGCTCTCGGCATTAAGGAGCTAAAACAAGGACTGGTCGGCTCGGAGTCAGTAAACTGTGTGTGAGTGGGGTATTAATGTTAAACTGCGGCATGGTATCTCACTGTGCTAGCACTATAAATCGGCATCAGTCCGGACTAGTACAAGCATCCACACACACACATACACGTGCATGCACGTCGCTATAGAAGTGCAATAATCTTGGACGCGACGTTAAACCCCATTTCACCTCACCGATGATCTTGTTTCGATTCGAGATTCGCATGTTACAGGTTTCTCAGCACCATACCCATGCTCGTTGGTTTCGCAAAAGTGGTAAAACACCAACCTGCGTCCATTCTCCAACATCAAGCTGACATGGGGAGCTATAAATGATTTAATCACTCCAACATCACACATATATTTTGTTGATATGGACAAAACATACATGCATACGTACATGATAAACAATTGGTATTCCCTTTCAGCGCTTCCTGATCCAGACCCATGTCCTGTATCCAGGGGCTACACGTCCGTGTTGTCTCCCCGGCTGTGTTACAAGTACATATCAATCTCCAACAACTGGACTTCTCAAAATGATCTGTGCCATTCTGAAGGTGGCCGCCTTGTCGTCCTCAACAGTCAGGAGAAACAGGAGTTCATGGCCTCATTCCAGAATCAGGGTCAGTGATTAATTGTCCTTTTTACACGTAACGTATCATACCTGCATGAGCGGTAGGGTCACGTAATACACAGTATCAGCGTCGGTGTATATAGTGTCCTATTTTTTGTAAATAATGAACCTCAATACAGACACACACTCACCGTTTGACAAGGGACAGTGGTATATAAAAACGTGACGCTATAGACGGACAAAAGTGTGCCGTGTGCGAAATACGCATCAGTCGGAAAGCGCACGTTAAATCTCCAAAGTAAGTAAGTAAGTAAGACGGACAAAAGTAACTGTACTCTATATAAAGATCAATGAAACTAATTCTTTTCTGACATCCCTTCGACTTTAGGGTCGTGATTCACAATTTGCACGTCGCACAATTTGGATGTTTGCGTGTTTGTTGGGAGCATGATATTAACAACCTGCACTGATTGGTTAGCTATCAGGTGCTCGCACAACTTGTGTAAAAAGGGCTTACACAATGGCATGCTGAAATCAATGTCCACGGTCCATGGGTACAGTAAACTACGGTTATAACGAACACGCTTATAACGAACTGACGGATATAACGAACTTGCTTGTTGGGGTCCCGACTTTTTGCTTTAGTTATGCTGTATATATGCTTATAACGAACTACGGTTATAACGAACTAAAATTAGTAGTCCCTTTGAGTTCGTTATAACCGTACTTTACTGTATGTTGTTGACAGGAATGGCGCAGACATTTGGATGTTAATCGAGACACAATATCATCTCTTTGGATACGTTATCTACAGCAGGGAAACACTCATGATTTCTCACGGGTCGGTCGTCCACGTGTTGCGTCATGTAAAAAAGACAGGCATATTCGGCTGTTGCCTCTACGGAATCGATAACAAACTTCCACATTAACAGTTCGGACAAATCCTGGATTTAGACCAATTAGTGGCCGCACTGTACGCAACCGGCTGAGGAAGCATTACATCCGGTCCCGATGTCCAGCGATACGCCCAATTATCATCAGGCACGCATAGCTTGGTGTGGACAAAGTATCTATGGTTCAGAAGAGAAAAGTTTACAGTTTCTGTTCACAAATGAGTTCAGGTCAACGGACGCCCAGGCGGACGCTTTAGCGACGTTTGTATATTCAATATTGTCAGTTTGGGGGTGGAAGTGTATTGGTATGGGTTGGCTTTTCAGCTATTTTGGAGAACACAACTCATCATTGTTAATGGCAACTTAAATGGCGTACGCTACCGGGACAACATCGTTGAAGATCATGTTCTACCGTTTGTGCAAATGCGGGAACGTGACGTCATGTTGCAGCAGGATAATGCCCGCACTCCTATTGCACCTGTTGCAACACAATTTTTAAGACAGCATAACATTGTTGTACTGCCATGGCCAACTGTTTCTCACGTCCTCACCACCTGAGCGGTTACCTCAGTTGGGCCAATCTTTGGTTTGCATTGAGAACAACATCCCCCAGGCATTTTTCAATAACATAACATTTCCATCACTTAATATGAATTCAGTTACATTTTCCCGTTAGTATAGTTATGTACAATGTGTTGAGGGTTATGTTATGTAAAGCAGACTAGTGAGTGAGTGAGTGAGTTGGGTTTAACGCTGCTTTTAACAGTATTCCAGTTATATCACGGCGTGTCAGCTTAATGTGGGAGGAAAGCCCGAAGTGATGCAGGTCTCAGACGTTTACCACTTCGGTGAAACCCACGAGCACGGGTATGGTGCTGACAAACCTAGAAACGTAATCGGGGCGAACCGGGATTCGAACTCACAATCATAGGTTTCTGGCGTGCCCCAGGGACGCAACTCTGCACAGCGAATCACGGCGCCTTAGACGACTGGGCCACCCGTGCCCCCGTAAAGCAGACTAGATTGCGAGCTTGGTGGATAACAGGGATGGTCATGATGTTGAAGGCCAGTTGATGAGTAGCATCAGCAGGTTGTGGCCTTCTATAGCAATATAAGCCTCGTTGCTTCATTGACAGTGCTGTAGCTGGAACATTTATATATACAGTAAACTACGGTTATAACGAACTCAAACGGACCACTAACTTTAGTTGTAAATAACCGTAGTTTGTTATAAGCATATATGCAACAAATGTCAGGACTAAAAAAATAAGTTCGTTTTATTGGTCAGTTTGTTATAGGCGTGTTCGTTATAAACGTAGTTTACTGTAACTGTGTTCAAGTGAATAAAGCAGTCCCGTTTGAATGTTGTGTAGGTGGCAGTAGTGGCCCATATATTCACTGCGTTTTTATTTGGCAGCTGAGGTGTTTCACTCCCTCTGGGTTGGAATGCAGAGCTCCAGCAGCATCGATGTGTTTACCTGGCAGGATGGGTCCACCTATGTCTGGAAGTGGCTACCTGGCGAACCAGACTACGTTAGTTACCAGAGATGTGGACAGCTGTATCATGGTGAGATGTCTGACGCCGAATGTGACCTCCATCGTCAGTCCGTCTGTGAGATACCGCTGTAAGACTTTGGGCTATCAATGCTATCTGTGAGATATCAATGTGAGACTGCCAGATACTAACGCGATGCTGTAACATACCAACACAAAACTTATAGATATTGTGGAATTCCAATTTGACAATGAAAAATAACAACGTCCTCACGTTCTCGTTTTGTATACATATAATCATAACAGATAGTATAAATTCTGTATATTGTTAAACGTTGCATTTTCAAGATAATAAACTTGTGATCATTCGGGATGTAAAAAGCAGATTGAAAAGAATTGGTGCTAAATGAGAGAATGGGGGGAATGACATTTTACGCATTCCTGTAAATTATCGAGGCACGGTAACAAACATGACAAACCATGACATAAGGGACCTTATGGGTGAAAAATCACATTTGGACTTTTTGTCACATTTTAAAACAACAGTATCTTCGGAACAGAAAAATACAATTCACACACTTCAATTCATATTTATTACAGAGATACATGACATCAAACATTTGGACTCATTATCCGACTTAAAACTGTTAATGTAATGATTGCAGTTTTTGACAAACATGAAATGTCTGAAGATTTAAAAGTAGACATGTATGCTTAAAGGTTTTGAAATAATGTTTTTATAACATTACGAACAAACGAGAGTAAATAAGTTTTTTTGTCCTGTCCGCACACATGGCGATCTACACTGAATTAAGCTAAGTTGACGTCAAACGTCTTATGACGTCACAGCACAATTGTATCCTAGTACCCATAATGTCCCTTTTCTCATGGTGGGTCACACATATTTAGTCTCATATTGTCACAGCCCGATCTTGGTCGTTTTTATGACAAGCAAGAGTGAGTGAGTGAGTATGGTTTAACGTCGCTTTTAGCAATATTCCAGCAATATCACGGCGGAGTACACCAGAAATGGGCTTCACACAATGTACCCATGTCGGTAATAGAACCCGGGCTACCCAACCACCTCACGACAAGCAAGAAATGGTGGAGAACTATTCTGCCGTGAAACCTGCAGGGATTATTATACTATAAAATGATATATGTATTTATATATAGTCTAGTTCACTAATTTGAATTCTCTACAAGAAACCATTCTCCTGGACACACCTCATGTTTGATTTTCATATTAACTTCCAGATTACCTTTACACAGAAATTCTTCATAAAACGTTCACATATACAGTAAACTACGGTTATAACGAACTCAAAGGGACCACTAATTTCAGTTTGTTATAACCGTAGTTCGTTATAAGCATATACACAGCATAAATACAACAAATGGCTGGGACTAAGAAATAAGTTCGTTATATCGGTCTGTTTGTTATAAGCGTGTTCGTTATAACGGTAGTTTAATATATTGTTATAGATAATGCCATGATTAACCGAGGACGTCTAGTTATTTTAATGTCCTTCGTTGGCAGTTTCATTGTATTTATTATGTTTAACCCATGATAGTCACGACATGGCTGAAAAATTGCTGATGTGACTTAAACATTTAACTCACTCACTCAGTCACTCACTTACTTACTGTGACTACTCAACTGCTGGGGAGTTGAACAAAACATACTGATATTCTGAAAAACAACAACTATAAGCTATTGATTGGATCTTGATGTTATGGTGTTATGGTTTCAAATCAGATTAAGCTTGAAATAATGATTATCGGGGAATTGGTGAAGCTTGAAGGTAACCTGCAATTACCTATTATTAGGTCATTTAACATGCAGTATGTAACTTCACAAACAGATTAAGATCAATACAATATACACTAAGTACCTGCATAATGTCGGCAAAATTTTGTTTGACAACGTGGTGAAATATTGGATCCAACTACGGTTAATTTGATAGTTTTACAACTACTGTGAGGGGTTAAAATAACAAAAATCCAAATACTTTTGTTTTATAACTTTGCGCTGGTATAACATGTAATATTGTTTTCGCTATTAGTTCAATTATTTGTTGCCACTGACAGTTACTACAAATATATTGACAGCAGTTTCTACAACCATTGAAATTACTTACACATAAGACCCGTGAAGATCCAGGGTAGAGTAGGTAGGTCTTCAGCAACCCATGCTTGCCGTAAAAGGCAACAAACAGGATTGGGTGGTAAGACTCGCCGACTCGGTTGATGCATGCCATCGTATCCCAATTGCGTGGATTGATGCTTATGAGTCAAACACTGGATTGTCTGGTGCAGACTCGATTGTTTACAGACCGCCCTCATATAGCTGGAATATTGCTGAGTAAGGCGTTAAACAAGAAACAAACAAAAGAAAACATACAATTGAGTAAAACATACACTAATGACTGTGTCACAAAGATACACAGCTTCACAGGCGATGGGCCGACTCGTCTTCAGCCGAAAAAAACCCGGGCGTATTCCTTCGCCAGCAGGATTCTTCTACCAGTAAATGAACTGCGCATGGGGATTGTCCTCTAGTTCCATACAAATAGCATTGTAAAGAGTAATGGAAGTAGGTAAGTTCAGTCAGATCGAGGTTCGGGATGGGGACATATAGTCTGGAAGTTAATTTAAGGTACCAACGTTTACTACAATATCTACTCCAGTCAAAGTTGGTATGTGATTATTAAACAGTCATACATAACTGGATATTACATTTAAAGACAATCGGTGCATGAATAAAAAATCTGTCTATTTAGCTATCACTATATTTCATCAACAATCAGACCTGTTCGTCACGGGTGGAACGAGCATTCATTGTAACAGCCATCTGCATAATGCTAACCCTGCGTCACAGGGCCATATGACACAGTTGAACCAATCAACTCAACTTGAAAGATGGCACGCACGAATACGGTCTTAGCATTAGATTTCATGATGTCTCAGCGCAAGTATCTTTCCGCTGATGCGAAAGGTTTCCTTGTTAAAATAGTTGAACACTTTAAGGCTGAAAGTGAAAGACCTTCGCCCTTCTTTGACATTTCAAAGTACATGGAAAGAACACTTCATGCGTTACACCTTCCCAAACAAACCGTAGTTAAGATTTTGAACTCTCATAAAAACACATGCTCCCCTGCACATCTCTTAGGGGCATATCAAAACAGAATAGGAAATTAAAGTTAGATTCCTTTGATAAGAAAGTTGTCAGGGACACGAGAAAATGAATTTATTTCAACACGAAAACTAAAACAAATTCTCCTTACAGAACATGACTTAGATATTTCCAAATGGACCATTTGTAAACTCCTTTCCAAAATTGGATATCAGTACAAAAAGACGAAGGGGTCCAAATTACCAATGTGTGAACGACCAGATATCATTCGTTTGGACGAAACCTGGGTTAACGCCTGCCACACAGCGGCTTACCAAGAGAGCCACAGCGCAAGATTCCCCCTGGTAAAAGGGAGCGCCTGATTGTCGTCCATGCAGGCTCCCACAGAGGTTTCCTCCCTGGGTGTGATCTAGTGTTCAGATCCAGATCTACAGATGGCAGAGACTACTATACCGAGATGAACAGTATTCACTGCGTATGTTGAGGAGCAGTTCCTCTTAGCACTGCCTGATAAATCCTTGGTGGTTATGGACAATGCTCCCTATCACAGTTGTCAAGATTCTATTAACCGTTGCCTAACCTCAAATTCCACCAAAGGTGAGATATGTCAGTGGTTGGACAACAACCCCATTGCTCGGCCCACGAAAGCCAAAAACACTGACTACTACCAACTGGTTCTTCAGAACAAACCCCCGCCCTCTTATTTGATTGACAACACGGTTGAGAGAACACGGTCACGAAGTGCTTAGACTCCCTCCTTTCCATTGTGACTTGAATCCCATCGAACTAATCTGGGGTGATTAGAAAAATACGGTCGCACGGCAAAATAAGACCTTCAAGCTTGCCGACGTCAAGCATATTGTCTTGAAAGGGATGGGGGAAATTACAGATGTACGTTGGACAAACTGTGTCCAACATGTTATGAAAGTATCCGACCAGATACTATCCAGCCTCTTGTTATTCATTTACATGACAGCACAGACTCCGAATCTGACGACGAGGGCATTTCGTGGGACCAAGAATAGTGCAATACATATATACCCCTATACAACTACACACGGATATGAATTCTTACATATTCGTACATATTCTGAATCATTTCTTAAGAATCTTAAATATATCTTTTTTATTCCCAAACATGGTTGTAGTTCATGGGATTCGTGAGAAAAAAATTTGTTTATCAAAGAATTTCTAGGAATCGTCTACGAATTTCAGGTTCGTGCTTTGTACAGTCCGTTTGACTCCAAATGAAAACGATGAATTGCAAAATAACTCGAAATCCAGAAAAGTGTATGAAACATCAATACGGTACTTGACCATGAATACCTTGTACCCAAAAAATCTGAATTTTGTTTATTTTAAGACCCATGACGGATGAAGTTCTTTAAGAAACTATCATGTAATTTTGTATAGAAATGTGTACATGACACGTAGGGGGACAAACCGTGCAAGGAACAGCGCAAGCACGGTCTGCACGTGCTACACAGTGACCTGTTTATTCAATGACAAGATGCGCTCCTCAGCAGATGTTAAACAGTTGATGTTGAATGTGTGTATGATTTCTTTAGAAGTGAAGCAGAAAGAGCAAAGACTTTTTATGCAATTAATAACTTCTTGAAACGAACTTCAAAGTCTCTTGGTATGTCCCCTCAGAAACTTAAAAATGTTGTTAGTCGACGAGATACAAATTGTCAGGCCAAGGAGGAAGGGAACATGTCAAAACCACGCAAGGTTGATAAATTAGACAGTTTTCAGAGGGATCAAGTCAGACGTGTAATTGTTAAACTGCACTCAGAAGTAAGTACCTGTCCCTTAGAATTTTGAAGAAACACCTTGAAACTGACCATGATTTACGTGTTACAAAGTACAAACTATGGCAGCTGTTGCATACATTCGGTTACAAATACTAAAAGATAACTAGAGAACATAGGGCTGTGTTGTGTGAACGGTCTGACATTGTTCGTCTCCGAAATCATTACCTTTGTACCATCAAGCAGAAACGTGAAGAAGGATATGAGCCCGTCTTCTTAGAAGATACATGGGTAAATGCGTCACACACAGCCAGCAGTCAGTGGGTACCCAGTGGTGACTGTAAGGAGTCTGGTAGAAAGTTACCAATTGGAAAGGGTGAAAGACTCATAGTTCTCCATGCTGGTTCTGCTAGTCAGGGTTTTCTCCCAGACTGTGACCTCGTCTTTAGAGCCAAGGCCAAAGACAACAGGGACTGTCACA